GAAGCTTGGCCAGAACGCGGCCATTACAAAAGGAAAATGATCCCAAGCACAGCAGCAAATCTACAACAGAATGGCTGAAAAAGAAAAGACAAACCGTTGCCAGACCTCAGGATGATGAATTCTGTGGCGGTACCTTAAGAGAGCTGTGCAGAAACAAATTTTAGCAAACCTCAATGAAATGAAGCAATGCTGCAAAGACTCTGGGCCAAAATGTCTCCACAATGATGTGAGAGACTGAAAATGATCACTTCAAATTATCGCTGCTAAAGACGGTTCTGCAAGCTACTGATCACAGGGTGTACTTTGATTTTCACAAGGCTGCAGAGTCCTGTGAAGACTTTCTTTTTCCTGACTGTACTCACAGCTCCTTGACTTACTACTCAAATCCACACAAAATACATGCAAGAAAGGGGCAACGCTGTAGCATCTCCACAGTGTCGACATAGTTGTGTAAACTGGGTAAATTCAGTGGGGAAATAATTCCTGCATTTTCATTCAAGCTTGAAACGTACCTAAATATGACACTATAAGAAAGGGCCAATATAACAGAATGAACTGTCACAGAGGAAGCAGTGGGTGATGGATGACAGCCCCAGGCACAGCTGTATTCATTCCCTCTGGAGTCACCTGCAGCAGTAAAAACATACCACTCAAACTGTAAATGCAGTACTGTCTGTTTTGACAACCCTCTAACACACGGGGCCTCGCCATATGGCATGCAGACAATACAAAGAGATTTACACAGCTTTTTTTTTTTTAATTTATTACCCTCTCTATAACTCTAATTAGAGCCCTGATGCTAATGTACTGCATCCCAAATTTAGTTCTTCTTGCATTTCTGCTATATACAAATACATCCAGTACCTCAAGTATGTTCAGTGCGAGGGCAGCTTAGGCTGATAGATAGTATTTCATCAATTTAAAACTTAGAGGGAGTTAGAAAGGTGAATAAAATGGCCAGGATTAACTGCTGAAAATACTTTAGTGGACTTACTCACGTAAGCTAGCACTGCCACCTTGAGGGAAACAAATTATATTAAAACATATTTTAAAACCACAGGTCTGACGGGGGAGTTGAGGGGATTTGAGGGTTGTTTTTCTTTTTTTGGTCTGGCATTATTAGACTCTGTATAGCTGATTGACAATTGGGTGACCCAAAAACCCCAAAAGATGAACTAGTTTTCTTTCTAAAGTGCAAGTTTTAAAAATAGAGTCCCTACTAATATACAAACAGCTTTCCCATCTCTGACACATTTTCACTCTTATCATATGCTACATAGCGGTGACCTGATTCTTTGTGGGGACAAAGGCAAGACCCACATCGGTCCACTTCGCCAGAAGGACCTGCCAGGATTTTAACCACACGGTGGCGCTGTTTAATTGCGTATTACACTACTACTAATGCAGGTTTTAAACTCCCTCTCAATATATATATATATATATATATTATAATAGTATTATTAATACTATTATATATTATATATATATATATATATATATATTATTATATATATATATATATATAAATATATATATATATATAAATATATATTATATACACATATATATATATATACATAATAAATACTATATATATATATATATATATATACAAATATATATATATATATATAATATATATATAATATACATATATATTGTGTATATAATGTGAGTATATATTGTTATATATATATATTTATATATATATATATTTATATATATTATATATATATTTATATATATATTTTATATAAAAATAAAAATTGAATTCCTTCAAAATTATATTATTATATATGTTGCAGGCAACGCTTTTAAACATGATGAGTTTTCAATATAGTCCAAAGGTAGATGTAAGGACGGTATTTTATCTGGGTTTTTTTTTTTTGTTTGTTTGTTTTTTGTTATACAAGAAAATATCTATAGATGTTAAACAAACTGATAAATTAGAGTTACTTCGGACAATGCCTTTCTCACCTTACTGACTCACTTCCGTTTGAGCATTTAGTTGACGCATAACAGCAGACAGAGACAAAGCTCGTGTGTGGATAAAGACGCAAGTGGAGCCATGATGGGGGGTGAATAACAAGTTAATATAATAACTGAAACCGACACAAGCTGATATCCAAACGACAGGTGATGAGTTTTATATCCCTGTGACCCCGTAGCCTAATTCCCCACAAGTACACCGTAGAGTTTTACGATTCAGCTCACCTTTCTGTAATGAGAAAAGGGTTCTGAATAAGCACATCCCACCCAGCCCCAACCCCGAGCCCAAGCTACGTGACCTAAATTTAATTCGCCGTGTGCCTATCAGCAGCGGCCACACGGCGTCTATCGAGCGCTAGGACACGTCGGTTTTAGTCACATTTGAGCTATTTTGCGTGGCTCGTGTTTGCACAAGCAGCTCCTGACCTACATTCGCTGTGTCCCAGCCAATCTCCGGCGATACTTTGGCTTCTGGCAAACACAATCTGCACAAAGAAAGGAAACGTGACGGGGAGGAGGGGGCGGCAGGCGGAGGGGGAAGGGGGGGGCGGCGGGAGTCACGGTGAGCGCCGCCCTTCAAGCACGTGCCGGCGCTTCTCCAGCGAAGATCGTCTATCGCGCGAAGACCTCCACCGCTCGACTGAGAACACGCGGCGCTGTTCTATGGGTAGAAAACGTGCTCTCAGCTCGAGCAGCTTTGACTACACTTAAAAGCACGTGGACTAAAGCTGAATATTGGTTTGGGGTTTATTCTATTATTATTATTTTACTTCTCACCTAATATTTATATTTTAATCTGTTGCAACATGCGGCTGCATTTATAAGCAATTAATACAGCTACATATATAAAAAACGTTATTTATCAGAGCTATTTCTTATATTTTGTAAATTTTGTAATATATTGTATTATTGACTTATTTCAGCCTCTTACTGTTATTGTCATGGAGCAACTGTAACCCACATAATTTTCTTAGGGAATATTAATGTATTCTGATTCTGAAACTAACACAGGCATTAAAGCCACTCAAACGTGTACAAGGTGATAACAGTGATGTAGTTAATTCTGAGTGGCCATGTTCTGTAATAATGAGTTGTTGTGTTTGTTGCAGAATTATATTTGATTTTTTTTTTTCTGAGTTGCTTAGATTGTGTTTATTTTAACTTAGTTGCTCAACGAGTGAGGTGGGCTGCTAAAGCAGAGAATTACAGGCTCTTGGTGATCTAAGAAGATGCTCTCGACATGAATTTCATGCAAATCAAAAATAATGACAGGTTCATTAATTATCTTAAATGTTACTGACCAAAACAATTAAATGAGGATCACTTTAAAGTAATGTAAAAACTAAGTAATAGTGTTAAATAAATACAAGCATTAACAAATGCACATTTGCTTCTCCTTCCCATTAAAACTTAAAGTTGTTACCCCAATATTCTATTCTATTTACATTGCATACAGGTGCTGCTGATCCACTTCTACACTGCAGTCATTGAATCTGTCTTGTGCAACTCAATCAGGGTCTTATTCAGTGCAGCCGCAAAACAGTGTAGAAATATACAAAGAAAAAATTACAATTACAGCTAACAGGAAGGAAATGTGAGCTGCTCCCTTCTTTTCACCCTTTAGGACTTGTACTCAAAAAACCAGGAAGTGGGCAGTGAGCATCATCACATATTCTTCACTTCACATCCTGGAAACAAGCTTTTTAAACTCCTCCACTCCAGCTGGCACTACGGATCTCCCATACCACGGCAACCAAACACAGAAACAGCCTGTTTCCCACTACCACCATCCTTATCAACAGCTTACATTTATTCTTCGTTATTCCAAGACGATTATTGCATTCTGCTTCAAATCCACAATTACTGGATTTTACCCATCCTCAACATCACAGCCAACTCCATGCACATTATGCTGTTTCACTAGTTTATTACACTGCACTTCATATAAATTGGTTGTTATATCTGATCTGTGTGAGGTTTGTGTTAACCCTGCTGAACACTGTAATAAGTTTGTTTGTATACATTATGTAATACAATATCCAGTCTGTAATAGATCGTCTTATATGTATATAATCTACCTGCCAGGATTTTCTTTGTGCACATTGATAACACCGTATAATATGGCCCATGTGTAAGGGTGTAATTTCACTACAATTATATAATTTCAGTGTATTTCACCTGAAATTGCAATGTAACTATATTAACCCAAAAGTTCTTAAGTAAAATTAATTATGAACTTTTTAAAATACTTACAGTATATTTTGTCTAGTTTTTATGTAAAATACTTGAAGTTACACCCTGCTTATAATTGCTTGCAGTATGAATTTGAATTGCTATCCCCCTTGTCTACCTGTGAGTAAAATTAGGCACGCACTTCTTAACATTACTTACAATATATTTACTTCTTCTTTCCCGTAAAATACCTAAAAGTTACACCCTACTTCAAATAGCTTGCAGTATAATTACTTCGTCTTTCTTTCCTTTAAAAGTTACTTGGATACTTAATGAACTGTCAGCCCTTGTTCTAATGTAAAATTACTTGTGCACTACTTAAACTTGCAATATATATACTGGTTTCTTGTAAAATACCTGAAAATTCCATACTACGTAACACTGCGTACAGTATAAATACTTCTTTCCTGTAAAATACTTTAAGTTACACCCTTGTTTTAGTGGATCTTCTTGTAAGTATTAGTGGCTAAATATAACTGTATCATAATTTCAAGACTGAGAATCCGTTTAATTCTCAAAGAATTACACAGTGACATCTTCATTTTCTACACTGCACCACCAAATCCCGGAACCAAATCCTTGTGTGTGCGGCAACCTCGGCGAAAACAAATTTGAGTCTCATCCTGAGGTCTGAAGACGATGCCCGAGTGAGACCTCTTCTCCTCTTTCGCCGTCTCTCCCTCGCTTTACCCTCTTATCGCCGAGCCCTGGCAGCTCATTAGCATAAAATGTGTGTCAGTAGGGCAGCGCGAGCTCACATGCAACGCGCACATGCTGCAGAGCTTTGACCAGCATTCCAGTGTCGAACGAGCCCGATGTGCCGTCTCCACGCGGGGCTCTCGGCCAATGAGAAAGTGAGAAAGAGTAAAGAAGAGTGGGGGGTGTGGAGGGAGGAGTGGGGGTGAAATGTTGTCAGAGAGCGTGACACAGAGAGGGAGGAAGAGAAAAGAGAGAGAGAGAGAGAGAGAGACATCCCTGATGCACACCAACAAACAGGAGGGACACACAAAAGGAGAGCAGGGAGGGAAGAAAAAAATGGTCACATTTCTCAAGCACCTGAAAACGTGCTGGTTATTTTCGGACGCGTGTTGCTTATTGATGAGTGTGGGAGTGTTTAAACTACTTCCACTGTGATCATGTTTTCATGGTGACTGTACATGGCAAGCAGCTGAACGCGTTGGGACCACTGTAATTCAGAGAACACCCTTTTACACAGAGATCCGTCTGACATCACACTGTGCAGACAGAGAGTCGAGCTTCCCCGTGCGTCTGTTCACCTCGAGAGAACATCGGGATCAATAAGAGACCTGATCTGAATTGCTTTTAAATAGTTTCTTTATTACTTTTGTTATTTCTTCTTCTTCTTTTGGGCTGGCCGGGTTTTCTCAGGAACCCCAATGCCCTGTGCACGCTGCTTTTGGTCTGAGCTTTGGGATACACTCTACATGCCCTGGCAGTTCATGACTCTTTCACCCGTATCAACAAAACTCCTCGGTGACAAGAAGTGGCAGTCAGTTCAGCAGTAAACGCCTACTGTAATACGGAACAAACGAACAACACCGATCGACTGGGAAACATGGAAAACAGTCCAGGTGGTAAGTAAGCTTTAAATTGTGTGGTCGATGCTGAAAGCTGCTGGCAAGCAGCGCTGTCAGGTTTACTTTGAGGGTAATGGTGCAGGTGAGCTGCATTAGATCAAATATTGCTAATATTTAAGTAATATATAAAGTTTTACTGCCATTTAATTATTATAATTTTTTTTTTTTTTAATTGTCTGTTTGAGTCATGTCAGATCACTGCAGTTATTGGACATGTCTGATGCTTTGGGATTTGTATCCAGTTTAATTGCATCTTATGCTCCTTCTATATGAATGTGTGATATCCAGAAAACTATTTAAGCTATAGGCAGTTGGAGTTTCTGTGCACTGTACTCTTGCCTATGACTGTAATTCAGCTGTGCAATCTCTGGCGTGTTGCCAGGTGCTTCTGGGCTGCGCAAGTCTGAGGATTTTGAGTGAGTGAGCTGAGCTCAGAGAGGGAAGTCCTCTCCTCCAGTCTTTGCGGCGGACTTCCGATTCTCTGCATGTAAACAAACTCACGTGAAGCGCGACCCTGAACGCCCTCTGACCGGGCACGTTGTCATCCCTCAGCCTTCCCCACGTTTGGTCGCCCCACCATTAGAGGCTTATCTGCAGACAGATAAGGAACAATAACGTGCTGACCCACCCGCGTTGCGTCCGCGTTTTTTTGGATCTTAAAGTTCTTGCTCCCAAAACCACTTCTGGATGTTTTCATCCAATGGGAGGTTGTCAACTAACAAACATGTGATTCATTAGAAGTTTGCTGGTTACAATCGTGGCACTTTCCCCCAAACACAAGTGAGGAGGCGATGTCAGGGAGGAGTCACGCCCACTGCTCCACAAACATGAAATCTGTGCCAAATTCTCCTTCCACACTGGCTCCAAGAGCCGCGCTTGGAGTAAACATGTAGTTCTGCCAGCCCCTGAATCACGATCTAAATGTAGCGAGAGCTGATGATGAATGAACAGATCATATCTGACTCATGAAATCGATAAGAGTTAAACCGCCTATTTACTCCGTGGCTCACTGGCTGAGAGCGCCATTGTTATAGGCGAACAGATAGATAAAAAAGCAATAAAGCAGTGACGCTCTATTGATATAACGCTTTAAACCATTACAGCAACTTCACGCTGCACCTAGATCTCACGATATAATTTAAATCTAAACATCACGGGCATAGGTCTTTGGTCGACTGTGGCCATGGCCGTGCACCCTGGGTAAAAAACAACACATAAAAAACCCGTTCGTGATGTTGCGAATCATGCACCTGATTTTAATACGCAGCCACCCCGCCTCGAGCTGACAGCACGTGTACACAGCCTCAGTATCCACGTGCCGCGCATGATTCCAAGTACACTGCTCCTCTCACGGTTGTTCCTCTCTGTCGCGCGCACTGTGCGCGCGCTCAGCTCACACGGGGATTCCTCTTTATTCGTTGGTAGATTGGTCAGTGGGTCAGAGGGGTTTAACCAGCCTTCTGTCTCATATTAGTTACTATAGCTGATTTTAAATGTTCATTAGTAATTAAAAGGAGCGTCCTTTTTTGGGGGGTAGCCTATCACAGGACGTGGGATGTGAAAGAACATATTAACCTACATTTGCCAGCATCAACTAGTTTTTTGGGTGACAAGGCCAAGCCGTTTCAATTACACTCTGGTATTTCTGTTTGGGCGGTGTAATGGAACAAAATAACATGATAAATACCAGACTGAAGTCATTATCATAGGGGCACTGAGCAGTTGTCACATGAACTAAGGCTAACCTTCACAATGTTGTCAATGAAATGATAAAAAGGTCACGTCAACATGGACTGTTGATTGTTTTTCTTTTCATTCAGAATAAATAAAGTTGTTTAGATTGGTGCTTTGATGGGGTGTTGTTGGTAATGACAGCACATAAACCCTTTCTGCAATAGAAAGACCAAAGCATGTGAAAGGTTATTTATTTCTAAGGGTTACAGTAAAATCAGATGACACAATAAAACCTGTTCTGACTTCCTTTCACATTGTTTCAATATTATATGGATATTTATTTTAAAGCTGTCTCTATCAATAGTACCTAGTCAACCTTTCTGGATGATTTTCAGTCCATCCATCCATTTTCTTCCGCTTATCCAATTCAGGGTCATGGTTGGGTTGGAGCCTATCCCACCTGTCACACGGAGGGAGGTGAGAGGTGGGGTACAGCCTGCACAGGTTGCCATTCTATAGCAATTCTAACACTCAGAGACAGATAACCATTCATGTTCACAAAATCAGTAAACCTAGACTCTCCAGTTAACCTGACGTACATGTCTTTGCATGGTGGGAGGGAGCTGCAGCACATGTGAGAACCCAAGCAGGCAAGAGGTGAAAATGCAAACTCCACACAGAAAGGCCACAGCTGGCCGGTGGATTCAAACTCAGGGCCTTCTTGCTGTGAGGCAACCATGGCACCACCATGCTGCCCATATTCAGTTTCACAGCAGTCAAATGGAAGATGAGTACTTTAATAAGTGTTCATCGTGTAATTGGGATATAATGTCATGGTATCAACCTGCTTCAGGGTGCCGTGACGTGTTCAACCTCACTCCTTTCAACTGAAAAAGTACCAGAAAGATTGTGGGTGCAGTAGTTGAATGACTAAGCTAATCAGTAGCAGTAAGAATCTGCAATAGGAGTGGTTAATGGTATGACTCTGTGATGAGAATGAATGCAGAGAAACACTGCAGCTGTTCATGACCAGCTCTCATGAACCCTGTAGTCTTCATGGAGTTTTCCTCTCCTTGATCTCAAAGCGTGATTATTGACCAACTTACAAAAAAATGCAACATGTTTAAGCAGATGAATGCATATGTTGGGCACTAGCAGGAAAATGAAACCAGATTCATTGTGTTTGATTAAAAAGATGTCACTCCTGAGAATAAATGCTTTTTTTCTAGGCTACATTTGCATTGCTCAGCCCCGAGGATCTACATGTAATCCTTTGAACTTGAGAACTCCTTAAACAAAGTTCAAATTGGGTCAGCCTCTTCCATTATGTTAATTAAAAAAAATCTTCTCAACTGCTTCTAATGTGAAAAAAAAACTGCCCGCTGTTCCTTCTAAGAACTATCCTCCATGACAAACGCTTCATAAATGAGCAGATGACACGAAGCCAGTAGTTGCACGTGGAGGGAGGCTTACTGCCCATGCACAGAGGTAAACGTTCACATGACAGAGGACAGTCAAGTTGCAAATGGAGCATGATTTCCACATTTTCTACGGGCGTCCGTGCATGCCCAGGGGGAGGGAACACACGAGATGGGAAGTCAGAGAGGACTGGCAAAAAAAAAAGAGAGAAAAAAAAAAGGAGGCGGTTGTATTGTTTATTCCGTAGTTCTTGTGGCTCTATGTGTATCCGCAAGTCACATGTTGTAACCTGTGCCTGAGGACAGCGGGGGTGACATTCCCGGAGCTCATTCCGTAGCCCAGTCAAGCCATATTCCAGGAAATCGTTACAAGCGTTCAGAATATGGAATGTTTTTCTACTCGACGAGCGGGGCGGGGTTGTGACTTCTGAGCGTAGAAAGTGGGTGTGGAAGAGCCAGTGTGTCTGCAGCATGTCACCCTGCCCTCCGCAGGTGAGCCACATGCCCAGAAAACTACCTCTCTCACACATCATGCAGAAAAACTTAACAAGCAACATTTGCGTGCGCAGGGAAGTAACCGCCTGCCCAGAGCTGCCACCCCACACACGTCCACACACATACACGCATACCCTGTTGGAGCAGTCAGTGTTGACACGTGTAAGCGGTAGAATTAAGGAGGCACTTAGAGCTAAACAGCAATCCAGCACGTGTTTTCTCAAGAAGAGAAAGCAAAAGAGACAGGGCACACTTTTCTCAAATGATTCCAGGTCCTTGAGAGGAAATGTGCACAGAATTACAGAGCAGACATTCTAATTATATTTACACCGCTTTGGATAATACTGCCACACACAGAGCAGGCATTTTTGACTTTGACTACATTAACCTTTTGGGTGGTATATTCACAGACCTGATACATTACAAGTAGCTTGATACTGACCCACAAGGTATGATCACAATCATAATGTGAGAATATCTGATGCAGTTTCTGGGTGAAGAATTGTGCGTGCAGGAAATGTTACAGTTGGCAGGTCTTCTCGGATACTTGACACAGTGATCTGATAAAAAATGAAGAAGTGGTTCAAACTGTGAGCTAAATACGGGGGGGGGGGGGTACCAAAGAAAGCCTAAATCCATAAATTCTTTAAATTATTTGAAGAGATAATCACTCACTTATATTACCATAAATTAAAACAATTATGGTAGCTTTAAAGGTAGGGAAGATTGCTTGGTGGGTTTTTCCTCCCTCTAGCCTGATTCATCTGAACACGCACACACAAAAAGCACAATGTCAGCCTTTGAAATTGTGTTAAAGTGTGAAAACAGTGACCGGCAACAACGTGACTGTTGCCCTCTGCGCAGTTTCTAGTGACTCAGTGGAATTCATTAACTTGTTCCGTTCCCCGCTTGCTCTCCTCCGTATCTCTAGCCACAGCATTAAAAGCCTTCTCCACTCCAAACGTGATCTGCCCTAGCGCTTGTTATGGCACTGCTGCTGTTGTTGTCTACACGGGACTGCGCAAAGAGCCTTGTGAGCCAGGCGGGAACTGTGTCAAGAGTCCATGTGAGCTCCTGGTCAGGTGGCTGGCGGATAGATGGGTCTGCAGGCCCGGAGCCGGAAAGGGGAGGGAGGAAGGGAGGAGGATAAGAGAAAAAGGGAGGGGGGAAAGGCGGAGGGAGTGTAGAAAAGACTCAGTTCTGAAAGCAAGCATGCAGGGAGCTGGCTGGCTCAGCCTGCACGTGAGGGGCAGTCTTTCATCTTGCGGGGAGGAACACTGTCTGCAAAGGAAAGGGCGGGGGTGGTGGTGGTGACGGAGGGGTTTGGGTGTTGTGTTTAGAAGTAATAGGGCATTTCCAACTTGATCTGATATCCATAAACAAAGGCCTGTTTGTGAACTCTCTGTGGCTCTCATTATGAACATACAGTGACTTACTGTCATAATATGATATGATGTATTTAATGGTGTTCCCTATTCCAGAAGGTTTGGTGTGTGTGATGTGATATATCGTAGGCTATTTTATTAGTTTATGATTGTTTGTGACAGTTGAGAGATGTAGATCTTTAACTAGATGGCATGCTGTGTCTATTTCAGTTACTACCTCTCCTATTTTTCCATCACTCATCAGTAAAAGCATTGTCAAGCAGGTTACTTGAAGGTATGATTCGGCAGGACTTGGGCATTTTTCCCCTTATCTCATTCTTATCAGATTAAAAACTGAAAAGACTGCACAAAAATATCCCGGTCAGAGTTGTTGTTCCTCAAGCTGTCACTTTTCTTTCTTTCTTTTTTTTTTTCTTCTCTTTTCTAAATTGTTCATCGGATCAAATTTCTGTTGTCCCAACAAGGTCAGGGTTTTGTGTCTGTGTTTGCAAAAGTCTGCCAAGTAAGCTCAGATGAAAGCAGATGATTGCTCAACACTTCAACTCTCTACTAGTTTGTGCCTGTGCACTGAGTTTTGGACCCTCTGTGCTCTTTCAGGTGGTGTTATCTTGTACGCTGGCTCGTCTGGAAGTGCCAGTCCGAGTCCTGGCAGCCCGTCAAGTGGATACCAGACCCAGTCGCCCTCCTCCCACTCGCAGCCTTCATCCCCGGAGGGTGTCTCCTTTCAGGAGATCGGAGCCTTGAAGCAAAGAGGGGAGCCAGGGGGAGGAACACCTTCCCCGAAAATGGTCTTTCAGTTTCCCGAAGTTAACAGTGCTCCAGCTGCGCAAATTATGACGGTGTCATCACCGACCTACAACCATCCCACCGTTGCCAAAAGGCCTTGTGGCTTCACTGGCACGTTCACCAGTAAGTACCTACTCGCCACCCTCCTCCCTGTTCTCCTCCTTCCTTGGCCATCAGCAGTTTTTCATTGTGTTTCTTCACCTGACAACCGTTGTGACTTCCTCTTTCACAGAAACTGGAGGTATGGTGCTTCTGTGTAAGGTGTGCGGGGACATCGCATCTGGGTTCCATTATGGCGTGCATGCCTGCGAGGGCTGCAAGGTGAGACCAAAGAAAGGTTATATTATGCCACGTCTTTCCTTTTCATTGTGTACAAAAAACACAATGACACAAAAGACACCCTTCACAGCCTCTATTCTTCCTACCCTCCTTCCGCAGGGTTTCTTCAGGCGCAGCATTCAGCAGAATATCCACTACAAGATGTGTGTGAAGAATGAAAACTGTCTCATCATGCGCATGAACCGTAACCGGTGCCAGCACTGTCGCTTCAAGAAGTGTCTCTCCGTGGGCATGTCCAGAGATGGTGAGAGATCATGTCATTGCATGAAGATATTTAGACATAAGTAAATTCTGATGGATTTATTCCCACCAGTATTTTACACTGGCTTAAACAGTGAATCGTTTTAATCCGCTTTGTACAAGATGCGAAAACAAAGTCCAAATTCATTTCTGTCACAGCTTACAACAAAGGCATAATCCCACTGTCAAAGCCACTTGCCTTACTCCTCATCAAAAAGTTGAATTTTCTACTTATCTCCTTTCCACTATTTCCTCCTCTTGTCTTTGTCCTCCTCTGCCTCCCTTTCTCCTTGCGCTGCTCTCTGATTAATGGCAAGAGGAGCTGGAGAGTCCCAGTAGTCATCAGTCATGTAGAAACTGTGAAAAATACTAGTTTATTTTAGGAAACTGGGGCACAAAGTTGTTGATTACCCTTCCCGTTCGCAGTCACGTACGCTCTTTCCCGACACGGGCATTTCAAATCATTTGAGATTTAATATTATTCTGTCCAGTTAATCACAAAAACATACACTGCTTCAATTTGAATATTAAACATATGATTGCAGGTAATCAGCTTTTGTGTGTTATTTTCACCTTCAGGAGTTAAATCTCCAGGGGAAGATGGCTAAACTAGGTGATAATAAATCACGTTTTTTTTTTTCTTTCTGGTGCAAACATTTTTAGCTGACCCCCCCCCAAAAAAGCCAGAAGCGAGAAATCAACTGCTAATTCATCAGATTTGAAACATTTATATTTTGTGAATAAGCACACAAAACACCGTAAATGAAAAATACGATAATAACAACATAACGTTCATGGGAAAGGTAGCTCCACCCACTTTCTGGTTTTCGGCTGATGTCTGCGACTCGCCAGCATGAAATTGACTTTTGATCAGCCGCCTTCGACCCTTTGTCTTTTCGGCTCTCTCACCTGCCTTTCCGTACCTCTGACCTTTCCACTCATCACCCACTGTGTCACTCTGCTAATGACACCACGTTTGGTGGTATTGACCCAGTGACCTACTTCTAGAGGAAAAAAAGAGAGAGCCTGCGCTTCACTGAAAGGCAGAAAGAGAAGGACTCGTGAGGGAGGAGGAGGTGGTGTAGCATACAGTGTACTATAAATAGGACTGTCAGTGGAGGTAGGGCATCGAGGTGGGGGGAAGGGAGGAATGTAAAGGCTGAAGAGGAGGATGAAAAGATGGAGGCTTCTGGGTCTGTAGTATGGTGTAACAGCTGTGATGGAGAAAGAATAGTCAGAGACAGATGAGAGATCTTGGGATTAGTAATACATCTAGATTAGAGTTTGAGAGCCACATGTAGGATATTTGTTTGAATGTGAACATTTTACGCATACAAGTGTCAGTGCTGTAAGATGCTAACAGAGATGCTCGTTTCTGTCTGCTTTTGTCCTCAGCTGTGCGTTTTGGGCGTATTCCCAAGCGGGAGAAGCAGAGGCTTTTGGATGAGATGCAGAGCTACATGAACAGTCTCAATGAATCGGCTTCCATGGAAATGGAGGTGTCACCTCCTCCCGATGCGCCGTGCAGTCCACAGAACCAGACGATTGAAGGAGCCGGCTCCATAATGCAGTCTTACCACGGTAACGAGAAACCACTCAAGATGGCTGCTGGCAACGGCAACCTTGGCGCTTCCTCTTTCCAGAACAGCGCGGCGCAGGAGCCTGCCCTGTTGCACGCGACTGCCCAGACGCAGCACGCAGTTCAGGTGGAGCAGGCGAACCTGACAGCTAACTACCACGTCCCCCCTAACTTCCCCGTCCCACCTACAGGCAGCGAAAGCACCACCAACGCAAACGTCGACAACGCCAAGTACACGTTCTCCTCCAATCAGAACCAGTGTCCTGTCAGCGGTAACATGTCGTCTCAGGGCTACGCAGCCAATCAGAACGGTTTCCCAGCCAGAGAGTCCTCAAACCAAAACCAGTGTCCCTGGAAGCTGAACGGAGGAGCCAAGGTTCTGGTGAGTCTCCCTCTCCTTTTGACTCTATGAAAGCCTTTTTAAATTCCAGTCAATAAAATGCCCATAATGCTTCTCTTTCTCTGTCTTCTGCAGGCATGCCCACTTAATTCATGTCCTGTGGCTCCGGCCAGTCGCTCCAGTCAGGAGGTGTGGGAGTCTTTCTCCCAGTGCTTCACCCCTGCTGTTAAAGAAGTGGTGGAGTTTGCAAAGAGCATCCCAGGCTTCCAGAATCTCAGCCAGCATGATCAGGTCATGCTGCTCAAATCTGGTACTTTCCAGGTATGCCTCTTTGAATACGATTTGTGTCTTTGGGGCTTTTCTTTTTACGTTTCTTTTTCCCTCGATGCTGAACTGCTCTTGTTTTGCTGACAGGTTCTCATGGTGAGGTTCTGCTCACTGTTTGACCCCAAAGAGAGGACGGTGACCTTCCTCAACGGACAGACATACTCACTGGCATCCTTGAGAGCCCTTGGTATGGGCTCATTATTGGATTCCATGTTTGATTTCAGTGAGAAGCTAGGATCTTTGGGTCTGGAACCAGATGAGATGGCACTTTTTATGGCTGTCGTGCTCGTATCTGCTGGTAAGAGTCACGCAGCTATGTGCATACAAGCTCATACTTCTCACACAAACACATTTCTTATGTCTAATGCTACTTTGTTTGCTCCTTTTTTCTTTTTTTAGATCGCTCTGGTATAGTGGAGGTTGGCGCAGTAGAGCAATTGCAGGAGAATCTAATAAAAGCTCTGCGTTCACTCATCACCAGTCGCCGCCCAGACGACAGCACACTCTTCCCAAAGTTGCTGCTTCGTCTGCCGGACCTGCGCACCCTGAATAACCAACACTCTGACAAGCTTTTAGCTTTCCGCATAGACCCTTGAGTTCAGACAGCTTAATGGGGTAACTGCCTTTGGGAACCGCCTTACTCCATATGCAGGCCTGGCTTGCTACTTTCCCTACACCGGCCGCTGCATGATGGACGGCAATTTTGAGAGATCTCCCAGGTCTGATGTTCCAAGAGAGCCGGGGAAATATGAGTGAAGAACGCAGGCAGAGCAGAAGGAGGTGGAAGCTGATGAACATAAACCGATCTGTGCTCCAGTTGCTTCCAATTGGACTGCTAGAAAACTGTTAAAACTGTAGAGTTCTTCCTTGAGTTTTTCAAGACAAAGTCAAACCACCGTCGCTTCTCCCTCTTGGAGTTTGTTTTTGATGTAAAGACCAAAAAAAGAAGGGCGAGCCCGTTGATCCTCACCAGACTTTTTTTTTGTTATCTCACAAAGCTAACGGAAAGGAAGCACATACTTTTTTGCCCTGAAGAAAAAAAAAAAAGGACAGACATTCACCAATAATGATCTCTTACTGTAAATTCCTGCCACAAATGTAAAGGCACTTTTCATACATTGAGAAACCTCTGAAATCAATAAATAAATATATATATATATATATATAGCAATAGAAATGTTTAACACAGTTTGTGTTTGCCCTGTTGAAATGACATAAGCTATTTTCACATCATGTTATCATGTGAGGAATCTTTATAGAAAAAAAATCACCCATTTGTGATTGAGAGATGTATACCATTTTTACGAAAATGAGACTGAGGTGCAATGTATTTGTACGCGGTGATCAGGGAGAAATTATTGGTCATTTTAGACCATGTCTGATGGCTTATATGATAAGATGTTCTGTTGTAAATTTTGTACAGGGCCGTTATTCTCGGTTTGTACCGGCGTTTGTTTGCAGATTCTTGGATATGTAAATGAAATTAGTATGGAGATTATTGTATGATGTCACACATGATTGATTTCTCTACAGGACGCCGCGTCTGAACGATGTGCTCCGAGTATAAACTTTTTATTTGAATATATAGCGTTGAAATAAATGTATTGTCAACGGACAGCATCGGCCTGTGAATATTTTGTAAATGTTTTATGGTTACGCCATAGATTACCATTATTAAATAATGTTATATAGCATCTTCTCCTTGTTCTCATCTCTTTTCATTTTCCTCCTTAATGCGATGCCGAGACATACCATACAGCCGTAGCCTAGCAACAGATGCAATGAGCCAATCGTGCTTCAGGTCTGAGAGCCACTGGGGGCTTTTATAATAACAAGAAACACCACTTGATTTTTGAGTGTGTGTGATAACAAGTGAATGTAATTCCAAAGACTTATGGGAATACTAGGTGTTGTTCTTTGCTGAGAGAACACAGCGACCTTTTGCAGAGACGAGATGATAAGCAAACTGAAAGAGATAAACTGGATTCTGGTGAAGGATGAATGCAAATGTAGGACTAACAAGGCAGTTGGATCAAAATGCTCTTCATGAGTAAAGTCTTGTTACCAGACACGAGGAGAAATCATATTGATATAAACATTTAGGAGCAAGTTCCATAAACTGCAGCTCTGCCTTTAATAAGGCTCCATAATGTGCACAGTCACTGGCATTGCTTGTTTTAAAAGGAAATGATTTAGACAGTGCGTCACACCCAGAATCATGCATCACAATAGCACAGCTTCAATTATATTTCTAGGTCTGACAGGCTTTTGACTGACTCGTGTATTTTCGAAACAAACATACTAAAGAAGCTGTGACTGCTTATAAGAATATAGCAGTCACGGATCCAACAGTAGTTCCACATTAGGTGAAAAAAATAGCAATAGTACACATTTTCCTCGGTGCCAAAAAATGAAAAATGAGTACGAACCAGAAGCTGACATCTATTTATCTACGAACGCACCTGCACTTTTACTGTCATTGATCCATCAGAAAAAAATACTGGAAGTCTGCAATGAGGAGAGCCTATAGTCCCTAGGGGTGCTTTGTTCCAGTCATGCCCATAAATCATGTTGGTCTACGCCTGCCGCCTACTGGACAGCACAGTAACGGCAGGAGCACGTTTTAGCCTCCCACTAGATGTGTTACAAGTTGTAACACATCTGTCATATGATAATCGTACAAAAATACTGAATGGGCTGCAAGACCATCACCAAAAAGCTTGGTGAGAAGGTGACAACTGTTGGTGTGGTTATTTGGAAATGGAAGAAATATAAATTCGCCCTTCAATCCCCCTCAGTCTGAAGCTCCATTCAAGATCTGGGGTGAGGATGATCAAGAGCAAAGTGGTGCATCAGCCCAAAGGAGGAACGAGGACCTTGCTAAAAATCGGAAAGCAGTTGGGACTGCAGTCACCAAGAATACCATTTGTAACACTACATTTTAATGCATTCAAATCCTGCAGCGTCCGCCAGGTCCCCTGAAGAAGTACAGATCCGTCTTAAGAAAATATAGCGGTCAGATGAAACCAAAATCAAGCTCAACACCATCCCCACAGTCAAGCATGAAGGTGGAAACATTATGCTTTGGGACTGTTTTTCTGCTAAGGGTACAGGATGACTTCACTGCATTATGGAGTCAATAGACTTTAAAATCTTGGACAAGAACTTCCCTCCTTCAGCCAGAACATTGAACATGGGCCATGATGAGTCTTTACAGTTACAGCCAAGGCAACAAAGTCTCAAAAGAAGAAGACGAAGGATAAGAAGTGGCCTAGCTGATCTCCAGACCTCTGGAGGTCAGTCTGTTATAACGCTGGACACTGGGGATAGCTCAGGATGATTCTCATTAGGCTAATGTAACTGCTTTATATAAGAATAACCAGCGTGTTCACAGCCATAGCTAGCACTATAGCCACAATAAGCCATAGCCACCAGATTACCCATAGGCAAAGCAAAATGACTGCCCTAGAAACAACAGTTTAGGGGGGGAAACAGTTAAAGTTTTACCTTTGGTAAATCATCTGCAAGGTTTTGGTCACATAATCTTCTCCCGAAGGCTGAAAGTGCTCCTCCATCATACTTTCATTTTTACCAGGCAGATTAATCAAATTGAAAGTGGGCTGTTGTTTTCCTTTCCTTTTTCACTTTGTTATTATGTAACAGAATTAAAGAGCCCACAGAAACCCTTCCACCTACAACTTCACAAAATGATGACTTTAGTCTGCTGATAAAATCGGTGCTTCCTAATCATACTTAGTAAACCCTGCAGGAAAACCGTATTTTCGTTTTACTTCCTTACTGTCCATTTCAATTTACAAACATCTCTGCAAGCAGTAATCACAGCCGAGATTTCCTTTTAAATGTTCCCAGTTGTTTCAGTAATAGCAAATCATGCAAGGCCAACAACATTAGAAGTCTGGAGGTTTAGGTTGAGCCTAGACTAGACTACATCCTCTCACATCACGATTTGAAACAAACGGAACATACTGTCTCACCCCCCTCTCTCTCTTTCTGGTTGACTTTTCTCTGGGGAATAAAAACAGAAAGCTTGTAAAAGTCTGGTATTTACTTTGTCAGTGATGCAGGTCTGGCCGCCACATGGGACATATTTCTCTTGGCTTCTTTCGCCATCTAGTGGTCACAGGAAACTTTGACGTTAGAATTTGTATGGAGTGAATCTGGGATTGTTGCCCCCAAGCGGCCGACAGACTGTCCTCTGTTGTGTCTTTGTAAACGACCATCTCCCTGTCTCTCTCTTTTCTTTTAGCATTGTGTTATTGTGCTCTGTTTTAGGGAATAGCAAAATCAGAATAGTTTTATTATCATGATTTTTTCCCCAAACATTTATGACATTACAATGCAAAAAAATATGAAACAAATTCATCACCATCAATCATCCTTGGCTGCAGTCAAACAAGCTCCATCACTCTTAATATATAGTATATAGTGTACCTCCAACCTTTCTATTATTATATGTTTTCAAATGCTCCAGCTACCCATCTCACGGGCCCACCTTCGGACTGATGGCACTCCCTTTCACTTACAAACTGCCTAGAAGAATCTGCTTTGCTCTCATAATACTAGACTGAATCCAACTTCTTTTCTTTTCATTTTTTTCTCTGTTTTATTTTTGTTGTTGTTCCTGCCTGCTAATGTAGCAATCAGAATTATTGACTGACGGCCAAAAAAAAATGCCAAACAGATTTACTTTCTCAAGTGGACCATTTGCTATAATGAATGCATGGATGGTCTCCTTCATAGTCATTTTTTATCAGAACTTTATTAGGATTTTATGAGTTATTACAATCACAACGGGCAAGACTGAGTGATTGAAAGGAAAAATAGTAAAGAACGAGAAGTTGGGGAGAAAGTTGACAGAAGGACAGGGAGAGAAAAATAGTAAAGGAGAGGGAGGGAGAGAGAACATCTGCTTCAACACCTGCTGAAGGAAGAAGCAGAAACAAAACAACAAAAACAAAAACACAGCAGAGAAACCATGTTAACAAGCAACATATGGATAAGTAACAGCAAACAATAAATGTTACTGAACAGCACACAGTACTACTAACAGAAGATAGTGCGTGTCTGAGTACCTGTTTGTACACCTTTGTGCACACCTGTGAGTGTCAATGCGCTTGTGTTCAAGGTTTCTTCATTTAAGTGTCTGATTGTGTGTGAGGGGAACCAGGGCCACAGACATTCAGAGGCCCCCCAGAGCACAAGAGCCCCAGGAGGACCACCACAGTGACAATTGTGGACCCCAACCAGAGAAGACGAGAGGAGAGCCCCTGGAGAGGAGTCACCCAGCAGCCACAGTGTAGAAGCCCAAGGGGGCTGTGGCGACTGGC